GGTTCCCAGGCGGTGGATATGGATTCTCCCACCTCGCAGGGGGGGGGGCAGGGGACGGACGGGGACGCGAGGGGGCATCGCATATTTCGGATACGCCTACTACGCCCAGTTCACCGACACAGTCGCTGCCATTGCGATCGCAAAGGACACGGAGCTGGGGGTGACAGAGACGCTCTTGGCCAAGATTGCACCCGACAGCGAGAGCATCGTCGACGGGTCCTACTCGGCGTTCAAGCGCGACTTGTACATGAACGTGTATATGATGGGCCGATGTGTCACCACTACCATAGGTAGGAGAGGGAGGAGGAGGAGGAGGAGGAGGAGGAGGAGGAGGAGGAGGCAGAGGACCTGAAGGATGAGGAGTCGGATGAGGGGGGGGGAGGAGGAGAAGGAGAAGAGGAGGAGGAGGAGGAGGAGGAGGAGCTCCCCATTCAGGCGATTTCAAACGTGGACTAAGGGGGCATGGATTAGCGACGGGTCCCGTTTCCATTGGAAATCGCGGATTGCCGCCGCCGAAAGAGGTGGCACCGGCCGCATTTTAGGGAGGGCACCTCCTCCGATCCATGGATTTGGCGACCGCGCGCCAAATCCATGGATCGTTAATCCATGTTTGCGCGCCCCCGACCCATCCTCCTTTCGCCCCGTCCTACCTATAGTAGCGGTGGTGGAACATTGGCCCATCAATATAACAACGCATGGAACGTCTCTGGGGATTTTTTACAGTTCGGCTTCAGTCCCAATGGACAGGAGCTCGTCAAGGAAACAGGGTACGTGACTGTGAACAGAGACCAGCACGCCGATATGAGTGTCCGCATTGGAGTCGGCGTGACGACTGGAGGGAACCTGGCGGCGGACTATGTGCCAGTATCTCCCGACAGCTGCGCTGTCGGGTCGGGCTTGATCTCATGGCCATACACCAACGACTTTGGGACGGACAAGACCGGCTACGCATGCGAAAACTGCACGGTCGGCACGGCGAAGAACAACGACGAGTCCAGTCCTTGCGATCCTTGCACTCCTGGCTCCTTCGCTAAAGTGGTCACCAACACCCCCAACAAATGGTTCTCGCAGCAGATTGACCTTTCACAGTGGTGACCGATGTTGCGGGTCCACGTGGCACCCCCAGCCGTTGCTTGCGCGTTTGGATGTAACCTCCCTTACGCCCCGCAATGCCGAGCACCAAAAGTCACGATTGCCGGGTCCAGACATGTTTTGTCATGATTTTTCCATGCGGAGCCCCAGGGAGTTTCGACCCTGTTCCTAGGAACGATTCTCATACGGTCCCGCCGGCCAAGCGAGGGCGCCCGGAGTCCGAAAACGACAGACCTCCCATCGTGATGCTCGACGGGAGCATGTCGGGGGGGGTCACTCTGGCGAGCAGCTGGCTGAAGCCCTCCTCCCGAGGCAGTCAGGGTGGGGCGAGCTGCGCTCGTGACCCCAGAGCAGACCATCAAGCACGACACCTTCCCCACAGTAGGCGCATCAAGCACGGAATGCGGACATGCATTATCCCCCGATGGCCCCAGGGGCCCACAGAGAGGCTCTGGGGCACTTAAGGGGGCCCAAATACCGATGTTGAATGCGCCCCCAGATGTCACATCGTAAGATATGGCATCGTACGCGCCTTCTGCAGAGAGACTGCTCATGCGATGGTGCCCTCACATGCCTCAGTAGGCGCGCAGATGCCGCGGTTGTGGCCTGTCGGCCTCTCGCCCGCTGCAGGAGACGCCCCCCCCAGAAAAAAATCACGGCTGCGCGGAGCAGAGGTCGTGTCCTGTCGGTATCACCCCATAACATTTTACATGCGATGATTCAGTAGTTCGAAGAAGAAAAAAACATAAACATTAACTTTTGGCGCTCCGCGTGGATTTCTTGGATTCGCGCTGGATGCCCCTCCCTGGCGCGCGGAGCGCGCCAGGGGCGACGCCGGCGGCGCCGCCGGGGGGCCCAGGCGCGGATCCAAGCCATCCGCGCGGAGCGCCAACAGTTGATGTTTATAGCGTTTTTCTTCTTCTATTAGCGCGGGACAATATGTACTACGATTACGATATGCGCTGTAACGCGCGCCTCCAATGAGGACAGACAGTTTTAGTAGGTCGATGTGCGTCTCAACCCCATAGAAGAAATAGATGACCTGCTTCTTCACTGCAGTCCTCGGATTATGTATGCAAGTGCGTTCGGATCCCCAGCGAAGATACAACATGTGAGAAAAGATGTGCCTGCACCAGCTTGTCTCGTGCATGTGCACTTGCAGCAATAGGTACGCCGTCGCGAGGCCTTTCTGCCCAGGCCTGATGCGCGTCCCAACCCGAGCTCTCGCCTTGGCTGGGCCCTTGCGGGGCATCCCTCGAGCGCCGCACCGCTCCTCGAGGGCCCCCCCCGGGGGGTCTCCCGAGGCGGGCGCGGGCGTGCGGGCCGTGCTCTCGGCAGGGTGCCCAGGAGGAGGGTGTCTCCGTAGGACTTAGGCGATCCCTCCTCCTCCTCCTCCTCCTCCTGCTCCTCCTCCTCCTCCTCTTCCTCCTCCTCCTCCTCCCCCTCCTCCTCTTCCTCCTCCCCCTCCTCCTCCTCCTCCTCTTCCTCCTCCTCCTCCTCCTCCTCCTCCTCCTCCTCCTTGGGTCGCCTACGGCCCCGGGGGAAACCGTGCATGTCCAGGTCGGAGTGCTGGTCTCTCCCGTGCGGTTTCGTGGCGTGCCGACGCGGCAGCTGGCGCTGCATTTTTGTTCGAGCAGGGCAGCACAGCGTCAGCGTCAGGTGTGGAGGGCGAAACGGCTTCGAGGGTCAGAGTTTTTCAGTTTTCGGGCGTCGGCGTCGGCGTCGTCGTTGTTTTGGGTATTTCGGGAGTCTCGTCGTCGTCGCCGTCGTCGTCGTTCCTGGTTTCTCTGAGATCCTGGCGCTGCACTTTTTCGAGCAGGGCGTGTTCGCCGGGATTCGGGCCCCGAGACCCTCACATGTCGATCCGGCTCGAGAAATGGTCCAGGGCTCCGGTGGTGATGTCTGACGATGCTTCAAGTTTCTTGCGACGTCGAAGGTCAGGGCTAGCGGGCGAAAAACGGTCTTAGATAAATTTTACCGCCGTCGGGGACGATTGCCCACCCCCGGGCGGCTGGAAAGTCCACACCCCTATACGTATCACCGTAGGGCCGTAGTGGTATGAATTTTGCAGCCGCCCAGGGGGCAGGCGTCCCTGACGGCGGAAAGGCTTATTTTATATACCGTTCTTCGCCCCCTAAATCGGCCAATATGGAACGATCTGGCGATCGAAGAACCGCCGAGCCGTCAAGGTTGAACGGTCCGTGCGGTGTCAGAGACCAATGCCGGGTCGTCACGACACGATTTTTTCACACATGGACATTCTGATCGCACCCAGTGGTGCAAGATACCCCCCCCCCAGACCCTCCGTGTTCATAGTGGCGGCGCGGCGACGGGAGGGGTTCGAGTGGACAATGGTTCTCGTACCCCACGGTCGCGATTCGCATTGAGACCACCACTGATATGGCGGTGGGTGGCGGGGGTTCAGCAGTCCTTCGATGTGTGCGACATGTTTGGACATCAGCTGTTCCCACCGCCTCGCCTTCCTCGCAGGCTTCTTCACGAACGAGACGGGCCAGACGACGTGCGAGCCGTGCCCCCAGGGCACCGCCGCCACGGAGCACGGCTTGAACAGCTGTTCCATGTGCCCAGTATTCCCGATACTCATTACTTCCTCCCTCCCTCATTCCTGAATCCCTCGTCCCCTCCCCCGTCCTTCCCTTCTCATCGTCCTTCTCCTGCTCGCTCCTGATCTCTTAGACTGACTGCTCTTCGATATCCCTCCTCCCTCCGCCTTGTTTCGGTCTCCATTCCCCAAGCTCCTCCTCACTCGAGGACGCGGCAGAACCAGCTCACGTCTATTGATCGAATTTGCGTTGGCCCTCCTTCTCGTCAAATATTGCGAGGGAGGTGAAGCCTTGTGGCCTCTTCGGGGCAGGGAGCTCTTTCGGTGCCTGGGTGCTTCCCTGGCCTCCGCTCTGGCGCCCTGGTCCTTTCCATCTACAACCGCTTCGAGGCCCCCATGCGTTCACGTTTCAGCCTGAGGCCTTTTCGGATCGGACTCGCTCTCGCCTGCCCTTGGCGTGTCTCTCCGCCAGTTCTAGCCCAGCAGGTTTGGGAGCGAGACGCTATCCACGCCTAAGTTCCCGAGCGTCAATGCCCCGAGCCCTTCCCAGCCTGCCGCCCCGCGGAGCGGAGCAACACGCTATCCGCTTGCAGGGCACCGCGCATCGCCAGGGCCGCCGCCGCGACACGCTAAGCCACAGTTCCCGACCGTATCCCTCCTTCCTCTCCCGCCTCCCTTCCCTCCTCCTCCTCCTCCTCATCCTCCTCCTCCTCCTCCTCCTCTTCCTCCTCCTCCCTCCTCCTTTCCTCCTCCTTTCCTCCTCCCCCTCCCCCTGGTGCCCCCTGAACGAGCACCAGCCGCTGCCCGGGCAGGGGAGTTGCCTGGCCTGCAGCGCCGGGCGCTTCACGGAGCTCCCGGGGCAGTCCGCTTGCATGTCGTGTGCGCTGGGCACCTATATGCTCCCAGGCGGCAACTACACCTGCGAGGTTCAGGGGATCTCTAGGCCTCCCAGATTGGGCCCGAGTAGCTGGGGTCGGAGGATTGCGCCGCATCGCTGATGCATCGGCGACGCGGCTCGATGTGGATTTCGATTTTCCCCACGCCGACGTCGGCGATGCTTCGCCGACGTCGCTGATGCATCGCCGATGTATCGGCGATGTATCGCCGATGCATCAGCGATGCAGCGCGATCCGCCGACCCTATCTACTCGGACCCACGCTGCGAGGCTCAGAGGAGGAAGAGCTACCGATACCGCTACCCTCGCTTCGTTTTCGCCACTTTGGGCCTCCTGGGAGGTCCTCGTCGCCACGGGTGGATTTGCTTCGAAATCCTTGTAAAACGCACCACTGAAGAGTTCCGGGGAGTAGCGGTATCGGTATCTTTTGGTATTCCCAGAGGCGTGCCCCGCGGGCATGACAACCATCGAGAGGGCGGCCACAGACAAGGAGCAGGGATAATAACATAATGGCACCGGCTCATGACTGGGGGTGGAAGAGGATGAAGAGCAACACGTTCAAATGTGTGCGAGCAGGCCTCGGCATGTGTGTGTCTCTGTGTGTGTCTGTGTGTGTATCTGTGTGTATGTGTGTATGTGTGTGTATGTGTCGACCCTCGAGGGACGGCGTCCAAATCACAAGTGAAACGAACACCGCCTTGGACAAGGGAACCCCGAGCATCTACACAAAGGCCTGAGGTTCGGAGAGCTCTCGCAACACGGAATGCAGAGCTCGCGGTGATCACAAGACCATTTGGCCGCGAAAAGGGGCCCAGTCGCTGCAGCGTCAAGCTCGGCGTGCAGGGTGGCCGCATCGGCCTAGGCGCAATTGGTCAAACTGCCGCGAAAGAAAGCACGGAGAGGGCATCTCGCAGAGGCTGCTTATCATGCGCCTGCAGCCCTAAGCCAAGGGCTGCCCAGTGGCTGGATGGAGGCCTGCGACGAGAAGTTCTCTCCTGCGTCCTGCGGTCACGCACCTTTTCCGTCTGGGTCTTGCACAGATGCACCGCAGGCAAGTCACCTGTGCATTCCGAGCCCAGCAAGCGGCCTTGTGTTTTTCGCATGCGCTCCACACCTCCTGCACACGGTGCAAGGCGGGCGTAGCAGCAACTGATGCCCGAGGTAGTCTCCCCTCATGCTGGGCACGCCTGCGGCCTCCACCTGCTCATCTTGCATAGCTGTGGGTCCCGCAGGCTCGTCGGCTACAGGCGACACGGTGCCAGTATCCGCCTGCCTGGCAGCATTGGCACGGGCGGTGCTCGCAGCAGGCGCGCCAGCGCGCGCTCGAGGCCCGCGAGTTTGCAACGTGCTGGCGGCTGCTCGCGAGGCCTCCGTGCACCGACTTCGAGGGGTGCCGTTCCACCTCGCCCCACATGGCTAGGGGTCACACTGTCCTCTGCGGGGGCGAACTCCAGGCCCCTGCTTCACTCTGGGTCTCAGCAGCTTGTAACATGACAACCGACTCGGCGACAGGATCGTGTCGTTGTTGGCCCACTGCGTCTGCGCTCTGCGCAGGACCTCCTGGCCTAGAGCTTGAAAAAGACGTGGCTCCTGGCGAGGCATCCATGCACCGACTTCGAGTGGGATTCGCTGCCGCCCCACCTCGCCCCACATGGCTAGGGTTCACACTGCCCTCGGCGGGGGCGAACCCCAGGCCCCTGCTTCACTCTGGGTCCCAGCAGATTGTAGCATAACAACCGACGCGGCGACAGGATCGTGTTGCTGCTGGCCAATTGCGTCTGCGCTCTGCACAGGACCTCCTGGCCCCGAGCTTGAAAAAGACGTGGCTCCTGGCTGGGCCTCCATGCGCCGACTTCGAGTGGGGTTCGTTACCGTCCCACCTCGTCCCACACGGCCAGGGGTCACATTGCCCTCTGCGGGGGCGAACCCCAGGCCTGCTTCACTCTGGGCCCCAACAGCTTCGGACACAACGACCGACTCGATGACAGGATCGTGTTGCTGATGGCCCAATGCGTCTGTGCTCCGCACAGCGCCACCTGGCCCCGAGCCTGAAACACGCGCGGCTGCGAGCAAGGCCTCCATGCACCGACTTCGAATAGGGTTTCTTGCCGTCCTACCTTGTCCCACATGGCTTAGGGTCACACTGCCCTCGGGGGGGGGGGGGGGGGGCGAACCCCAGGCCTGCTACACTATGGGCGGCAGCAGCTTCTTCCATAACGACAGATTGGACGACAAGATCAGATTGCTGCTGGGCCCCTGGGCAATTAGAGGTCCCCCCTCCATCCAGAGGGCTCGCAGGGGCCATGGTAGCAGGGCAAACCGTTGGTTCCTGTGCCGCGTGGTGGTCAGGTCGCATGTGGCCACGCATGCCCCCAATCGGGGCTAATTGCTCCCCACCCGACAGGTCTGGGCTACTCGCCAGGGAGGGGGCCCAGCGCCGATCCAAGAAATCCGCGCGGAGCGCGAAAAGTTATATCACACCAAGAAAATCAGAACGCTGACCCGCCTCGTACATCCTTCACATTGCAACCGCCATGCTTAAGATAGTGTGCCCGTGCTCCCTGGGTGACCCGCCTCGTGCCTCTGACGACTGACGACTGCACGCCGCGGCCGCCGGGCCCAAAGTGTGAGAGTACTCCCTGGGGATGCCGACTCGCGCTCTCGGTTGAGGATGGTTCGAACCTGCCGCGTTGGCTCGGCTGCTGCTGCATCGGCTCGGACCCCTCTTGGGCGCGCTCGGCCTCATCCTGCCCCTGTTTTCCAGCCTAGGACGTCTGCCTTTCTATAGGATTGGCTTCACCTGCTCTCGGTGCCGTTTTGAGGATTCCCGGAGTTTCCACGGGCGCCTTCCTGAGACTGTCGTCGCATCGGAGCTTGTCAATCTTAGGGACAGGGATAAGATCCAGGCTGGGCACTAGTGTTTCTGATGTTCCAACCTACTTGAGCCTTGATCACCAGAAAGAATTTCAAGCACAACAAACGTACCCGAAATCGAGGATGTTCACGTGCCGGGCCCCGGGATACACTATTTCGACACTTTTGCAGGTGCTCGAAATTATTATTGGCATGTGGCCATTAAGTGCGATGGGAGCAGCATGAACCTGTGCCCTCATGCCTCCCACCACGAGGAGAGCTGCAAGTGCGCCGAGGGGACCTACCTGATGGAGGGCGGCGGCCTGGACGGCCCGTGCGCCGTGTGTCCGGAAGGCATGCAGTGCGCATTCGGGAGCCGAGCAGGGGGAGGAGGAGGAGGAGGAGGAGGAGGAGGAGGAGGAGGAGGAGGAGGAGGAGGAGGAGGAGGAGGCGGAGGAGGAAGAGGAGGAGGAGGAGGAGGAGGAGGAGGTGGAGGAGGAGGAGGAGGAGGCGGAGGAGGAGGAGGAGGAGGAGGAGGACGGTGCGGTAGGTTCGCGTCGTGTTAAGTCGGGCCTGTCACTCTACAGGGGGAATGTTCAATAATAGTCAAAGAATAGTCCAGGGACGACTTCTACATTATTTTCGGGTATGTTTGAATGTTTGGGGCGCATTCTTAGGTTTACTCCGCACCGCCGACCCCTTGGGGGGCTTGTGGTAGGTCTCTCGGGTGTCTCCTGGCAGCACTCTGAGGCCTTTTGGGGGGCCGTTTTGGGGCCTCTTTGGGCCTCTGTTGGGGCCTCTGGTGGGCCTCTTGGAGCCTGCCTCCTGAAGGCTTCTAGGGGCCGAGGGCTCGAAATTTCCGTTCGGGTCCGCCGCTTGTGCCCCCGTCTTGGAGCTATCGTTGGGGCCGTCTTGGGGCCCTCTTGGGCCGTCTTGGAGCCTTCTTGGGGGCTTCCTGGGCCATCTTGGGGCGATCTTGGAGGCCTCTTGGGCCGTCGTTGGACGTTGTGAAAGCCCAAGAGGCGAGTGTGCTAAAATCAATCGTTCCCCCAAGGGAATGCATGGGGCTCATTTTTGCTTCTGGGGTCCCTCTTGGGACGCCTCTTGGGGGCCTCTTCGGGCGTCTCGCGGGCCTCTTGGGCCGTCTCCATTTTGGGCGTCTTGGAACGATCCATCGGCGACTCGGGGCCCTCTTGGATCATCTTGTGGGCCTCTTGGGGCCCTCATGGCCCGTCGTGAGGCCCGTGACGCGTTCAGCCGGGGCTGGCCGGACCCCCCCCCCTTCAAACCGACCGGACCCGGCCCCGGGGGGAGGGTTTGGGGAGGGGGAAGCATCTCACACGCCGATGACCCCAAGGGGTCGGCTGATTTTGGCTTTGAGCGAAGGGGGGTACCTTGACAGCGTCGCCCCTCCTGGAGCCTAACACGGCGCCTCATGGGGCCCTCTTGGGGCGCTTTTGAGGCAGTCTTGGGTCCTTCCTGGGCTCCTCATATTAAAGGCATCGTGAGGCTGAGCAGCCACTCGGAATGCGAAATGTCGAGCAGCGCACGCACGCATCATGTCACCCCCAGGATGGATGAGGGAATGGGAAGAAGAAAGATGAATATGTTGATGATGCTGATGATGATGATGAGGAGGAAGGAGGAGGAGGAGGAAGAGAAGAGAAGGAGTAGGAGGAAGGAGGAACAGGAGGAGGAGAGCGAGCAAAAGGGCCAGAGGTCTCTTGGATGCTCTCGGAGCCTCTTGGGATATCGCTTGGGTGCTTCTTGGCGACCTCTTGGGAGTCTTGGGACGTCGTGGGGGTCTCTGGGCGGTCCTGGGGGGCTCTTGGGCGTCTTGGGTGCTTCGGTGGGCCTCTTGGAGCGTCTGGGGGGCATCTTGGGTGCCTCGGGGATCCTCTTGCAGCCTTCTGGGGGCCTCTTGGGGGTCTCTCGGGAGCCTCTTGGAGGCATCTTTGGGGCCGCCTGGGCGCCTCGTGGGGCCCTCTTGGGGCGGTCTTGGAGGCTTTCGGGGCGCTTTTCGGGCCACCTTGGAGGCCGTCGATCAAAGAAGAGGGGAGCCTCAATGAGGGCTGCCCCCCCCAAAGAGGCCAACATAGGCCCAAACCCTAGTAAAATCAACGAGTCTGGCTTCCTCGCCGAGGCCGTTTTGGATGCTGCAATCGGCCGCGGCACCGCCCGTCCAAGTCCAGGGGAGGGGGTTAGGGGGGAGGGGTAAACCCCTCCCCGAAGGGAAGAAGGGGGGTGGAAGAGGAAGCTCCCTAAACCACCGACGCCCAGAGGGCTGGTGGGATTGAAATGATGAGGGAGGAGTAAAGAGGGGCGGGAGGAGCAAGGAGGGGAATGAGGAGAAAAGGAGGAGGATCAAGGGCGGACGGGAGGGAGGGAGCAGCCAGAGTTTAGAGAGGAGCACCTTCTCGAACTTCTTCGCCGTCGACGGTAGAGTGAAAGCGGCTTCAGATGACGATCATCCGTTCCCGGTGGTCGAGGAGGGTTACATGACCCGGCTCGACGATTTGCTGAGGGTGTTCAAGTGTCCGGTCAAGAACCATTGCCCAGGTGGCGCGCCCGCTACCTGCGCCAGGGGGCGTGATAGCGGCGAGGTCGCTTGCGCAAGGTGCGAGGACTATACGTACGAGGATGGTGACGAGTGCCACGCTTGTGAAACGAACGCCACGTGGCTTGTTGTCTTGGCATGCGTCATTGCCGTCGTGGCAGTTTGTGTTGGAACCATATCCGTGAACCGGAACTTGCTGATGCAAACGAGCTCGACGCTGATGTGTGTCATCATGGCTAGCCAGATGTTCCTCGGCCTCCAGACGTTTTCGGTCTACACTTTTTTCAGCCTGGAGTGGTTCGAACCGTTGCGGGGCATGCTCAACATCATGTCCTTGATTAGCTTTGATCTCAAGGCTTTGCGCATATCCTGTTCAATGGGTTCCAACCCTACGTCGAATTATGCACTTCGGCAATTTGTTGCCCCGCTCGCGATCCCGTGGATATTCGCCACCTTGTTGGTCAAAAAACATTTCGATCCCCAGACGAGGCATGTCAGGGAGGCTGTCAACACCATCGGCACAGTCTTTCAGGTATTCTTCATCTCGATCGTGCTCTCAGCAACGGCCCCCCTGGTGTTTTACGACCACCCGAACGACGCTGGCAGTTCGCTCGTGAGCGATCCGGCCGTCCTCTACTTCGAGAGTAGCGATCATTACGCGATGCTAGCGGTTGGCATCCTCGCCATGGCCATGGTACCCTTGCCTTTCCTGTCGTTCGTGCTCTATGGCACTCTGATGTACCCGAAGTATGCAGTCTCGGTGGGCGCCGATACTCATTTTTTCGGGTTCGCCTCTTTCCGTTTCCTCTTCTTTCGTTTCAAGCCTTCTCGCTATTATTACGGTTTGATCATGCTTGTACGGAACCTGCTCCTCTGCCTGGTGCCCGTCATTATCGAGTCGGACGTCGCCGCTCAGGCAGGAGAGACATTCGTCGCACAACAATCTATATATTCCCCCACCCCCCCTCTCCCTGCCCCTCCCTCCTCCCCCCTCGTGGGGAGTGGGACGAGAGGGACTGGGGACGAGTAAGGAGTCACAGTTGATCCGACCATTCAGAAAAACCTCTTCTCGTCGCCTTGGGCAAGCGTTGCTTCGGTAGTTTCGCTAGGTGTTCGATTATGAACTCCCCGTTGAACGCACACATTCAGTTTTCGCACCGAAGACCGCCGCAGATCGTCCAAGATTGCCAAACAGTGATGGGTAAAAAGGGTGTTCATGATCGGAGGTGTGGAGTAAGCTGGGTCAGATTCTCAACACCCCTCGCACACACGATGTTCTGTACCCCCGCGATTGGACCAGCTCGGGTTGACCGCTCTGAGTTGTAGCTCTGGTTGTGTAGATGCCGCATTGAACAGAAAACAGACGGATGTGCTTCGTCTTTCTAGGTTTCTAGAGGCCCTCGCTGGGCCCCAGGCGCGTCAAACATTCATCCACGACGAACAATTGGTCCCTCGAAGTGGTCCAGGGCTTTGGGGACCCCGTGATGAATCTTACCCGACTCGGAGATCCACACTTGTGCATCTCATGTTTTGGCACGTCTCGTTGAAAGTGTCTGATTGGTGTGGGCGTGGACCCGAGTTGACGACAGATACGACGACGGCGGCTACGATGATGGACAACGACAACAATTTACAGACAGACAGGCGGTAAGCAGGCCCCCATCCACTCCTTGCGTTTTTTCGTCGTTTTATTCCTCCCGACCCGGAGATCATGCGTCTCAAGGCCCAGCTCCAGGCAGCAGGTGCAGGTACTGCAGCCGCACAGGAGCCGCTTGTTTCAGAGCCAGCCAACCTGGAGCAGAAGAGGCTGGGTGAGACCGCTACCACCCTCAAGGCCCTCGGCTCCCTCTAGGATGCGGCTGTCGTGCGGGCCCGCGACGAGCTCGTACGTGAACGAGATGGGCTCAAAGGGCGCATCGTTGCCAGCAAGCCGTTCTCGTCGCGAGCGCATCACTTCACGACCCGCAGTGACCAGTGCAAGCGCAAGCAGTCTGAGTTGGAAGGCAAGTTGGCCAGCCAGCAGGCAAACAAGGAGAAACTCGAGCTGCTCATCGCCGAGACAACCGCAGAGCTCGCCAAGCTGGAGCAGGAGATCGTCGACCTCGAGGCCCAGCGGGTTCAAGTGGTGCTCAAAACGCCCACTGTGGCTGCAGGCAGTTTCTCGCTCAAGACGATGGTGCCAGCGCTCGAGCTCCCTGTCGATAAGTTTGGCGAGTTGCTGCAAGAGCTGGGTGCGGACGCTACGCTCACAGCCTCCGTCAGCTCGTGCTTCGAGGCGCTTCGTGAGCGGCAGGCCAAGGCGACTGCGCATGCAGCGGCCGCGGCCTCGACCTCGGAGGCGTCGCCACCTGGCCAGCAGCCTGGGCAGGCTTCTGATGCTGTGCGACAAGGGCAGCAACAAGATGCAGCAGCAGTCCCCGTCCCCATGGACACCGACGACATCGAGGAGCTGCGCACGTTTCTCACCGCAGTCGGGATTGAGCCACCAGCAGAGGAGTCCGTAACCATTTTGGCTCAAGCTGCGGCCAGCCCCCCGCTTGGTGCGGCGCGGGCATGCAATGACGCGGGCGGCCAAGCCTGGCCGCAAGATCGTGGGGCGGCACGGGGAGACGGTTACGCGCCTCGACACCGTTGCGGACGCAGCGGAGCTCATCCTCCTCATCGAGGCTGGAAAGCGTTCGACGACACACGACGAGCTCGCACTCAACACATACGAGAAGGTGCTCCACGGTGCTGGCTCGCGCCTGGCGCTTGGGCGCAAGGCCACCACGGAGGAGGTCAGGCGCGCTCTCCTCGCCGAGGAGGGCACGGACCTCGCCAAGAGGTGGGCAGCCTTTCGCGCAGGAGAGCGCCTCGCTGCCCATCCTGATTCAGAGCTCCTGCTCGACGTGCTCACGAAGCTGGAGGTGCCCCGGCCTGGCCAGCGGGTGAAGGAGCACGTCACGGACTTGCAGGCGGAGCTGCCGCAGGACAACATCGAGCAGCGCTCGTTCCTCACGGAGGCGGGCACTTGCGTGCTCAAGACCTCGGAGCACGACACGTCTGCCGGCAAGTGCGGGAGCCCGCACTCGGAGCTGCTCAACGGCAAGGGCGACCAGCCTGCCACCGAGCTGGGCGCCATGGTCGAGAAGGCCAAGACCGCCCCGCTCATCGACTTCAAGGTCGAGGAGACACAGAGCTACGACAAGGCGGACGAACCCTGCGTGCTCACGACCTCGGAGTACTCGGAGCACGACACGTCCGCCACCATCGAGGACGACGATAACGAGACTGCAGTCAGCCCCCTGCGCAAGGCGGACTCCTTCGGCGTGCTGACGACCTCGGAGTGCGACTCGTCTTCCACCGCGGAGCGCAAGAGGCTGGACAAGGTCGAGCGCAACACCCTGCAGTACGACGGGTTGGCCACCGCCGACTTCGATGCACTTCCTGTGGCGCTGGGCGACAACATGTTGGCCTCCTCTCTGGCGGGCTCCGTTTTCGACGAGTGCGCCAACATGGGTGGCAATTGAGCGCCCAGCAAGGGCACGAGTAATAACTTCCACTCCCACGGCTTCTACACCTCGCACAGCAAGAGGGCGTCGGGCTTCGAGCCGCTGCAGCAGGGCAAGGCCAAGGGCAAGGGCTTCTGCTCTGTCATCCCCTGAGGCCGCCCTCTCCCCGCCCTGCGGGGCCCGCGAGGCTTCCAGCTCCAGGGGCTGAAAGTCATCGGGTTCGCCGACCTCGGAGCGGCGCACCTTCTGCCAATGAGTTGAAATACCACCAGCAGAGGAGGCTGACGTCCGTGAGAGAGTCAAGAGGATGGCGGAGGCGGCCAACGACTACGTCAAGCGGCGCAATGTTACTGCTGGAGCCTATCGTCTGCATGCTCGGTTGCCTGAAGTGGATTGTCCTCTTCTACATGGCCTGCTGGTGGTGCCAGTTGCTGCCCTCCCACTCGCTCGTCTGCCACCCACCCCCACATAAGTGTTGGTGGCTATGCCTCAATGTTCTCGGCCATGTGGCCACGCGCCTTCGCGTGGGGCTGGCGCGGCAGGCACCTGGCGCGCAGTGAAGGGAACGCGTGCATCAGGAGCGGCTACGACTCCCAGTTGGCGTCGAGCAGGTGGCGGCAGCTATTGCCCTCGTACTCACTCGCGTGCTGCCCATCCCCCGATATGCGTCGGTGGCTATGCCCTAATGTTCTCGGCCCTCGTAGCCATGCGCCTGCGCATGGGGTTGGCAGGGCGGGCGCCAGGCGAGCAGCGCAGGGGTCGAGTACCCCGTCGACTGCGACCCCCAGGGTTGTGGCACGTGGGCGGCGTCAGGTACCGCCCTTGCACTCGCTCGCGGGCCCCCCCATCCCCCGATACGCGTTGGTGGCCACGCCCTAATGTTCGCGGCCCTGGTGGCCATGCGCCTTCGCGCGGGGTCGGCAGGGAGAGCCCTAGGCGAGCAGAGATGGGACCGTGGTCATCGTGGACGGCGGTCGCAATGGCAGCAGTTATGCAGTGGTGGGCCTGCAGCTACAGCGGTTTGGGCGGTGGCGTTTTACGGCAGTGGTGGGCCAGCCTGCCAAGTCTACTCCCCCCGCGTTGCGCTCGATGCGGCTAAGAAACACATTTCGTCAGGATGCCGGGGGTCGGGCACTGGCTGGCCTTCAACGTGGAGGTATTCAACGCCCTCGCGGTCGTGTTACAGGCGGCCTACTCTGGGCCATGCTTGCAGTGACTGCCCCTGGAGCGGGTGCAGTTCCAGTCTGCAGTGTTGTCACAGCTAACATATCTTCGCATGGAGTGTTACCGGATGTTCTCAGCATGCCCTGCTGCAGCAATTCCATTGCGTTGGTGCAGGAGCACCGCGCAGGCCGAGAGCACCTCCCAGATGTACAAGCGGCTGCTGCCCGCTTGGGCTCTGCGGGGCTGTGGGCTGCTGCGCCAGACGCGGGCAGAGGGGGAACGTGCGGGGGCCTTGCGGTCCTGGCGCCCAAGCGTGTCCGTGTCAGTCTTGGACCAGGCTGAGAATGGCCAGAGTTGGTGCAAGGTCGAGTCTTGGTGTCGCATCTCCATTGGGGTCCTGAGAAGGGCGTCGTTCTCATATCTATCTATTTGAGCGATTCAATTGAGTTGCGCGAGGACAACCTGGAGATACTCTCGGCCCTAGCCAAGTACACCAGCATGCTGAATGTGCAGCAGCGCCATTGGATTATAGCTGGAGATTGGAACATGGCACCCGAGCGGCTGACAGGGCATTTCAACTCAGTGTTTTTTTCTCCAAGGTGCCAGCTGAGCCCACATGTATGAGTGCAGAGCCTGGTACAACCCTCGACTACGTATGTCTTTCCAGTGGGCTTGCTCTTAAGGCCCGAGGGGTCCAGGTCCGTGAGGGCGCTTCGACGTGCCCACACTTGCCAGTCAAGTTGACAATGGAAGTTGCCGAGCACCACATGTGGGCACGAGTGCCAGTGGAACCAATGCAGGTCAATACGGTTCCTTTGCCAGGGTGCGCGCGCTTCCCGCCAGTGGCCAGGTGGGCCGGGGCAGAGAATCTCATTGCGAACAGTGATTGCAGCCAGACCTTATCAGTAGCCTGGGATGCAGTGCTTTGTGGGCTGGAGCATGAACTACTGGATCGACATGGCATTGTGCAGCCGCATCGACGACGCAGGTGCCAAGGGCGTGCAGGACCCGCTGAATGGGTTTGGAAGCGCAACGGGCCCCTGCAGCCACCCTGGGGCGCACGGGTCAAGGGCGCCGACGCCAGCGTCGCGATCGTTTGCCGACGCGCGCTTCAGTGGAGGCGCCCAGCCGCGGCGCAGAATACCGACGCCAGCGCGCTGCGCTTCGGCCACCACCGGGCTTGCCGCAAGCTTCTACCCCCAAAGGTTCGGCGCAGCAGCGTAGTTTTTTCGATGCTCACCCGCCCACCCATTCCCAACCAACTCTGCCTATTGGAGCATCGAGCTCGAGAGACGCCCCGACGACTGGGCGATTGCGAACCGACGCGCGCACCTGGCGACGCGTTACGTCCTGCGCCCCACCGCAGTTGCACTCCTACGAACGGCGGCGCACCGCAGGAGGCGCGCCACCAGCGTGGCATAGCAGCCGCTGCATCACCCGACTCAAACGTTTCCCGTGCATGGCGACTAGCCAGCGCGACGCCGAGCAGCGCGCCCAGGGAAAGGACTGCGACCGGCAGCGGGCCCAGGAGAAGGACCACGGGCAATCATAATCCGAAGGGCCATTCGTTGGAACGCATTGATCCAGGCAGCCATTTCCCCCAGAAGTGGTCGCCAGAAGGCGTCCGGCGACTGCGTCGCCGGCGCCTGCCCGACGGCAGGGCGCGCGCGCCAGAAAGCGAAAGTAAGAGACGGCTACGTGCCCCAAGAACGCGAACAGGTCGTGGAGGACCGCTAAGACGACTGCGGCGCTGACCGCACTGGTCTGGCCCCATCTCTTCTGGGCGATTCAGCCATTGGCGAGCCGCGCCGACGGGCGCGACGACGACGACCTCCAGGGCAGCCTCACCCTAGGATTGCCTACCTGGCGGCTCCACCGCTCGCCGGCCCCGGCAACTGATCGACATGCAGCGAGTAGCGAGTGCTCAAACGATCCAGCCAGCCATCCGAGCCCGGGTTTATACGACCGAATTTTGCGACATCCACCATTTCACATCCCCCACTTCCATCGATCACGACATCGACATCGTAGAGATGCGGCGGGGAGGCGCGGGCCAGCAGACTCACTGTTCGCCGTCACCTCGGGGCTGGCGCCAATTTCGACATGGGGATTGGCTGCGACCTCAACGACAGGAGCCAGCAGAGGGCCGTGGAATGGTGCGCCCGACAATCGGCCCCTAGTCTCCGCCATGGCTCCCGCATGCCGGCCTTTTCGGTAGATGGGCTACGTTTTAATGAAAATGCAACTGCAACACCGGGCTACGTTTCCACGAGGACGCCGCCCCGCCGGGCTTGCCCAGGGCATCGTGGACTTACGCCGCCGCTTGCGACGTTCGCATCTCGCGAACTATCGTCGGCCTGCCAAGCAGTGAACATTGGGCGAAATCTTGGGCGCCACCGCCGAGCGCGCGCGCGCAGCTCGTGCGCGGCGCCCACGCGCATCGTGCGAACTGGTTCGCCCGCGCACTCGCGGGGTCCAGCCACCTGCCAGAAACCTCACAGCGCCCTAGAACATCAGGACTGCACAGGCTGCCGCGAGGAGAAAGAACGCGACCATCCAGCACGCGCCCGCAATTTTAGCAAGTTCAGGTTCGCGGACCCCTATGCGCGACCGCGCCCGCGCGCCGGCCAACGCCCGCGGGCGCCAGCGCGACTTGGGCGACCACGCCACTCCAGCAAACAGCAGGCTCAACTGCCTGGCGGAGCCGACCTCGGAGCGGCAGAAGAAGCTGCACCGCCGCAGGCAACTGCCAGCGCGCCTGGGGCCAGCTCATCATCGGCAACTCCAAGCTTGCAGACTGGACTCGCTTCGACAGCACCACGTCATTGGTAGCAGCGCGTGACGATTCGCGCGGGATACGCGCGCGAGAGGCGGGCAGTTCGCATCTCTGGAGGCGCAGATGGCCCAACACAAAGGAGAAAATAGCGCGCCATTAAAGAGGACATGACAAAAGCTTTACGAGCAGCCAAAATGCCACAGGGAATCATGGACCATCTACACCGCAGTCAATATCTGCCAGGAGAGTCGCCAGTGGTTGCCACCAGCAGACCAGCATGTCGAATGCAATTTCGAGATCCATTGCCGCAAGGATCGCATGGTGCTGTTCCTGGTCTGCTGCGCCTCGACGCTGCGCAACGGCCAGGAGATCACGACCTTGCGTGACTCGACGCTGCTGGCGGCCATCGACCGTTCTGTTATTAGGTCCAGCTCTTCGGCTCGGTGGAGACCATCATCGTGGATGGCAAAGGCGGAAGGATCCTGACGTGCTTCGCGGAGGAGAGCCAGAGGCGAGGCGAGCAGGTTGACATCCGAATTTCGCGCTAGCACGCTCGTTCCATGAGCCGCTTGGCGCAATGCTTCGACGCGCGCTACGCGCCGCCAAGCAGCCGCTGGAGCGCGAAGGCACCACCGCAAACTTCGACTCGCGCTGGCCAGCGCCGTCTTCGCAGGGCGCGACGCCTCGCGCGCGTAGGCGGCGTAACCCGATGCAGCGCGGTGCTCGGCAGGCAGGCCCCCATGCTGCCGCCGCTCGTGACAGACGAGGAGGGCGAGGCATCTGGCGATTATTTGGTTTGTGCCAGCCCGCGCGGGGTGGCGAAGTGCAGCCCTGCCGGCTGCAGTGGCATATCCGAGAGATCGTCCTGCAGTGTTTGATCAGGGCAATTTCGATCGCCCGCGTAAGCCGCGCCCTCCGGACACGCGCCACCGAGACCGGAGAGGGGCGCTTCCACGTTGGCGATCACGTGAAGGGCCACTGTCATCCGAGCACGACAGACTTGGCGGGCTTGGCAGGACGTGGCACGGTCATCTGCGTGAGCCCAGCTGGAAGCAAGACTGCCTCCAAGTATGTACAAGACAAGATGATCGGCAGATTGCAGGACGCGCGAACACTCGTCGAGTCGGTGCCGTCTTCGACAGCATGGGCGCCGGCATGGCGCGAGCAGGCCTGGCCTTCGACCGCTGCGAAGCCTGCGTGGAGCACGCCGCGCCAGGCTCGCGCTCGCAGCTTCGCCCCGCGGTGGCCCCTCTGGAACCCGAGCGACGCTCGCCAGCTACACGTGGGCGGTTGGGGCCTTGAGCGCGAGCGGTGGAAGGGCGCTTGCATTATTATCCAGTTCGTCCTGGGTGGCGAACCGTTGCTTTCACCAGACGCCGTGTTGGGCGACGACGGGGCGTTCGATGACTATGGCGGCGACGTCCCCGAGGGCGCCGCCGGCGTCGTCGAGGGCGGTTCACCATCGGCCCTGCCCGTCATGCCCGGAGCAGCCGACAGCGACTCACCGCAGCAGGAATTCGAGGGGGCGGAGGATTTGATTCAGAAGCCGCAGGAGTTGGAAAGCACCGGCAGCCCGCGGAATGTCTACGCGGCCATCGAGCACGCCGCGGCGGGTCTAGGCCGCCGGCCACAGGAGCGGCCTTGGCACCTGGAGGCGCAACGCGTGCACCAGAGCATTCTCGCGCAAGGTCACCATTGCCTGCGCGGCGCCCCCGCGGCCGACTGCGCCGCGCGCGAGGGGGGACATGGCGGCGGCGGGCGCGCGGAGCTGCTTTTGGACTCGGGGGCGCGAGAGGCATTCCTGAGCTGCGGCGAGAGACCGCCCAGCAATTGCGCTGCTTGCGTGCCCGCGAGAGCCGCGTTAGAGTCCACCGCGCCGGCGAGGCCGCAGATGTCGCAGGAGGTCGACGCCGCTATCCTCGATGGGGCCTGCCATCTGAGCCAAGTATCAGCGTTCCAAGCGACGACCTTTCAGGGGCGCCCGGAATGTCGCGCATTCAAGGCGCTCGTTCAAGCGGCGGCGCCGGACGGGGTCGGGCAGCGAGACCGCTGGGATCACCCAGCGCCGCGCGTCGCTGCGAGGCTTCCGCGGCGCGTGCACCAGAGCCCTGTAGACGCTTGCCGGCGCGGCGAAGCGGGCGTCTCAGCGCATGCAGTCCTCAGAGGCGACTCGTCGCCCAGATCGGCCGCCCGCCGCCGCGGGCGTCGAGAGGGCGCTCATGCAAGGCTAGACCTGCGCCGCGATGCAGGAGCAGGAGCAGGGCGAATCGCCGCGAGAGGTGAACTTCACCCTGCCGCCCGGCAGCGCAGCCATCCTCAGGCAGGTTCCCGCCGACGAGTCTTTCGACGAGTGGACCGAGCGCCCGCGCTGCGTCGAGCCAGGCACGGGCCGCCAGGATGCGCCCGGAGCTTTCTCCATGAAGCTCGGCAGGGCCACGCGTTCGCCCGAGTGCAACGCCGAGCCGACGCCCGTGGCGCGTCGATTTGGCCAAGGCGAAGGCCGACGAGCTTGCCGGAGGTCAACTTCCAGAACTCTTCGTCTCCGTCGTCGGAGCAGCAGACTCACTGCGCGCCATCGTCGCGATGCAGAGGGGCCAGAGTGAGCTGCTCATCAGGTGTGCGATGCAGGTCAAATCTGCCGCTCTGGTCACGCAGAAATCACGGCGCGAACGCCTTTTTGTGGCGATGGGGCGCGCAGTGCGACTCCGCGCGCGCCCAGCGACGGCATGTTCAAGATCGAGGAGGTGAGAGAGCGCGGCGTGCCAGGTGCCGCATACATGCATCTGGTCACCGATCGCAAATAGCTTGAGCGCCGATCATCGTTAGGCTCAGAGCTGCTCGCAGTCTGCAACGCAGCTGATGGCCTACGGGCGTGCCGGCCGAGCTGGTCGTGGACGGCGCGTCAGTGTTCTCCGCCTTGGCCATGGGCCCTTTTAGCCCACCTTCGGTGACAGAAAACAGGCCACCCATGGTGACCAGGCCAGCTCTGCATCAATCAATTCTCGGGCGCGACACTCGCGATATGAGGGCCGAGCACATTGCGAAGGGTAGCGTCGGCCGCGATCTGATCTTTGACATCATTCACGGGGGGTTCAGGTGCGACCGCCCCGCTGCCAGGCCCCAGGCTTAGTGTGGAACGACGCAAAACGACGCGAAGGAGAAGGGGGGCGGGCATTGCCACTACTGAATTGGACGGTTTGTTCCACATTGAGAACAAGAGCGAATTGGGATGTTGCGGAGGCTCAAGTGCCACGAACTTTGTGCGCGAAAGCGATTTCAATCTCGTTGAGTGAGCGGGTTGCATCCGCGACTGCGTCCGCGGCGCAGCATGCTTCGGACAGGAGAGCATGCAATGAGTGATTGCGTGCCCCATCCAATGATCAGTTGCGTATCAATTTTAGGTATGTATATACGCATGGGAAGAATTAGTCGACAGAAGGTTCTCTCACTCATGCAGTACTACAGTCGAGACCTGTCAGTCAAAGGTGCCATCCGTGTAGCTAGCCCGTTTGCTTCGCTGGCCTGGGCGCGGCGTGCACACCTGAGCCTGCGGGGCGCAAGCTGTTTCTTTCGAACACAAGATTCGAACGGTGATCATTGCCTGCTGCCTCTTCCTGTACATTAATAAATAATAAATATATGTATTGTTGTCCGCCGTTGTTTGCGGTTCGGTGGGGCGATCGGTTAACGCATTGTGCCTGTTTTGTTCATTGTGCGCGTGCCGTTAAACCAAAATAAACGGCAGCTCGTCTCCTCATGCGATTTGGATTTGAATGGACAGGATTCGGATGTGAAAAAAAAACTCCTCGCTCGAGATTCCCCCCGCGCTTTGGTTGCGAACAGGCGAGTGCAACCATCCCTGGCAGCTTCCCCTGTTGTTGGTATAGCCAATTCCTCATCCGAGACATCCTCACATTCTGCTTTGAAATCCGCAGAGTCCCAGCAACCAAACAGGGACATATTGCTAAGGCCTTACGGCCAGTGCCGCCGACCCTGAAGACGAAGACGACGAACGCGAGGACGATGACGACGAATGAGTTTTTTACGGCACTCCTGGCGCGTCTTGGCTCTTTTTGGGGCCCCCGGACGCCCAGGGGCGGATGTGTATCTGACTCGCCCCCCCCAAGACCCCCCCGGGACACCCGCCCCCGTCGGCGGGGAAGGGATTAAAGGTAAGCGGCGCCCCTCCCACTTCAGTGCGACGTTGCTGCGGTCTTATCGCGCTGGCAGGCTTGAAGAGGAGGGTGCACGGAAAGGGGACGACGGAGACGCAGGGAAAGGACAACGAATGCGTCGAGTGGGCGCAGGCCGACAGGGGGCCCACACGCCGACAGGGTCGGCGGATTTTCCGAGACATCCCCCCAATCTGGCGGCATCGTTGTGGGGCTTAATACCAGCGTCCCGCTTAAGACATCCTCGCAATCTGTTTTGAAAACTGAGGATTTTCGGCCATCAAACAAGCAAACCGTTCGAAACATCTTCACTATCTGGGCCTCTTAGGGTGCTGAATCCAACGCCTCGGTCACATCCGTGCATTTTGCTTTGAAAACCGAGGAGCCCAAACCACCAAACAGGCAAACCGCATTGGACATGCGGACCATCCTGGGACTCTGGGGTGAAGCCAGCAAATCGTCTGAGACATCACGTTTGCTAGGACAGCAGACGAGCCTGGGCAGCGAAACAGGCAAACCGTTTGAGACATCCCCGCGACCCGGGCACGAACTGGCCCATGCAAACACCCAGGCGGCTTTCTTTTGGGGGTGCTGAACGAGAGCGTCGCTCAATGCATCTTCGTGATTTTCTCCGGAAGCTGACAAATTTGGGCACCGAGTCATGCAAACCGTTCAAAACATCCCCAGCATCTGGGCGCGAGCGGGCCTCTGCGAACACCCTGATGGCTCCCCCTCTGGGAGTGCTGAAAACAGCGCTTCGCTTGAGACATCATCACAATCCGCTCTTAAAGCAAACGACTCCGGTCACCGAAACAGGCTAACCGCCTGAGACATTCCCACAATCTGGGTGCGAACGGGCCCGTGCAAACACCCTGCCGGCTCCCCCTTTGGAGTGTTGAAGCCACCGCCCCACTTGAGACAGCTTGATAATCTGGTT